TAAAAAATATCAAATCTGTTTTTCATTTAAGAAATATGTAATTAATGAAAAATTGAATTAAGAAAAGATATTTTAGTCGAGCGCCATATGTCATTTCCGGAAACACTTAAAATTAACTGTTAATTGCGAAATGTAAACCATAGAGGGATTCTAGAATTTACGAATGGTGGTTAACACTAGTTATTGACATATTAATGAACTAAACAGTCGAACTGATTTCTTCCCTGATCCAAACTTAGGTATTGTAAATTGCTGACCCCTGATGGTCGGTTATTTTTTCCTTTCATAGTCACGCAAAGTGTCCGATTTAATTACGGATAAATGTTTTCTATAGTGGATTCCAGTTGTACAATGTCTATAATCTATAGTCTACCATCCATATTAATGGACTTGATGGTCAAGTTATGTTGACTTTTGTTTAAAATATTACCCTGTAACGAACAAAGTCTTGCATTCCTTCTCTCGTTGATGATTCTGCTATCGTCACGGACTAAATTTTTAGCTTGAAATGTATTTTTGAAGTTCAGAACTGAATGGTACATCGGTGGCGTATTTTTTTAGAAAAGTTCTTAAATGATGAAACGTTCTTAAATGATGAAACATTCTTAAATGATGAAACGTTCTTAAATGATGAAACGTTCTTAAATGATGTGTTATCAAAACCTATCGAATGCATGAAAAAGTATCCTTATGAGTTTAAAAGTAGATCACCCGTATCTCTCAGTTAGTAAGCGCACTTAGATTGGTCAATTCAACCTGCCGTATTTCATTGTCCGGCCCGCTAAATTGAATACATATAATAAATATCTTACTAACCTTGTTTTTCTCGGTCCATACTGTAAGTAACGGAACCTCTAATTCGGTGAGTAAGAACTACTTACAACTTGTGATAATTGCTCTTAGGGATCTCTGTATGTCCTTCTCGTGAGATTCAGGCCACTCAAGGGGAAGTCACTTCCCCGAATTTTCCAGATGCCTACCCTTCTGATGTAAACTGTGTTCTGACCATTGATGGTGGAAACAGTGTTAAAATCAAGCTGAAGTTTGAACATTTTGAAGTTGAAGAAGACGATAATGGTAAGTGCATTATAAACTAAACTTTTTCATTTGCATTATTTGTTAAAAGTCTTTTAAATATCAAGTTGTGCTAAATTTCTAATGTTCGCATAACTTTCTAAAGGTATTATTAACCCTTAAACTCCCAAGATCTGGTTGTGAAATCTCCCCTCTAGCTGCTGTGCATTTCCTTGTAAATTAGTAACAAGAAATTGGTGTTAGATCAACAGAGCAATTTCTACATTATAAGTTTAAGCATTCTCTTTACCTGTTGGCTGAATAATGTATGAACACTATAAGGGGAAGTTACATGTTAATCAAATCTGGTAGTTAGGGGGCTAATCAAGAACGTATCGCTAATAGCATGGCTCAATTTCTTCGTAGAAATTTCCAATTTAGATGTAATATTCCGCGCAAACATAGAATTAATACCGTGGCCGACAGCACAGCAAACAATTGGCTTTTGCGTCGCTTTAAGGCGCGCTGCGCACTCCTCTAATAACTTATGTGTGAGCTTCTGAGAGTAAACATTTTTTACGCGAGCGAAGATTTAAACTGTAAACCGATATAACTTATTTCGTAGATCCAAACGAGTGTAACTATGACGCTGTGACCATCATCGATGGCCCAAGAACCTCTCGATACTGTGGCAGAAGAACTCCCCCGGAGTATACATCGACAGGAAATAAGATTTCCATCGGCTTTAAGTCGGACGAATCTTTTGAGATTAAAGGTTTCAACATCTCGTTCACCTCCTTCGCTGTTGAGACAGATCGTAAGTAAAATTGATTTGTGAGGGTAACTGGTCACTTCAACGACAACCAACTCGCGAACACCTTTGGTCGACTCGCCCACGCCTTTAATCAACTCGCCCTCAGTTGGCAAGTTGAGTACCCGGCCACTTCGAGTTGACCAAAGGTGTCGGCGAGTCGACCAATGGTGTCGCCGAGTTGGTTATCGGCGGGTTGACATGTCGGCGAGGTGACAAATGCTCAAAATGAACATCTGCCAAACGCTTCATTTCCTTAACATTCAAGATTAAATGTTTTTAACTGAGAAGCTCGGGCATGAGGGAACACTCTCTTGTGGGTATGGAGAAGCTGATATTGTAGTGTATGGTATAATATAGTGTGGTACGGTTCAGTACGATATGGCTTCGTTTTGGTGCGATACAGGTATCTTTCGATATGATATGGTACGATTTGGTACGATAAGGGTATGTTTCGGTACGATATGGTACGGTTCGGTACGATATGGATATGTTTCGGTCCCATATGGTACGATTCGGTACGATGTGGATATGTTTCGGTACATTATGGTAGGGTTCGGTACGATACGGGTATGTTTTGGTCCGATAAGGTACGATTCGGTACGATATGGGTATGTATCGGTACGATACGGTACGGTTCTGAATGACACGGGTATGTTTCGGTACGATGTGGTACGGTTCGGTACGATACGGATACAGTTCGGTACGATACGGGTATATTTCGGTGCGATGTGGTGTAGTAGGTTATGGTTCGGCTCGTTTCGGCGCAATACGCCCAGGTATGGAATAATAAGACGCGCTCAGCGAACTATGTGTTATGGCATGCTACGATATCAAACAAAAACAAAAAAAGCCAACCAGGATCACCTTCAATACTCAATTGAATACTACTCTATTCCGAAGTTTCTGATTTGGATAATGTTTTTCCTTCATTGTATTTTTCAGCACCAAAAGGCTCTGACATTTGTCCCACAAGAGAAATTAAGATCAAGCCTGACTCGCCAGAAACAATGAAAGGAGCGCTTTATTCACCAAATTTTCCCAACTTTTATCCAAACGACCAGAGCTGCACATTAACTTTGGACGTACCTGATAACTACAAGGCTGTTGTCACGTTCCAGAAGTTTGCTTTGCAATGTAAGAACAATTCCTGCTTTGTTATCAGTATGTTAAAAACTTTGCAACGAGTATTTTTCCTGAAAAAAACTTAGCAAGTTTCTCATATATATGTTATCGTTTTGCTCCGTAGATTCTGAGACGTGCGATTTTGACAAGTTAGTGGTTAGTGACGAGAGCGACAGTGATACACAGTGCGGGGGGGGCGCAGACCGGCTCCCTCCTTTAATAGAGAAAAAAGGAAGAGAAGTCAAGTTTTCTTTCACCACTGATAGTTCAACAACATCAACAGGATTCCAGTTGGAGTATAACATCACTCGTCTTGAAGAAGGTGAAATACCGGTATTTAAACGTGTATTACTGGAAAGGTTCGTCTGCGATCTAAGCTGCGTAGCAAGGGCTTGCATGGCAAAGCACACCAGTAGCACACTCGTGGGCCGGCTTCTGCGCGCGTGACTTGACACTTTTCATTGTCTGCGGTCAAGTACATTTTCTTTTGCCTGGGCGGGGGGGGGGGGGGGGGGGGGGGGGGGGGGGGGAATAACGAGGATTTTGTTTGTGACTAAAAGAATTTACCTGATCCCCTATTGAACTCTGAAGTATTCTAACGATCTCCCCTCATTGGGGAGTTGGGTTGTTCATGATCAGTTGCGCATGGTGGTTATGCGCAAATACCAATATCAAAAATCTATGTAGGTGGTATAATTATATTTTATAGCATAGTATTTACCGCCTCATGAAAAAAACTTTTAAATAGACGTGAAAAACTACTGTAGATCAAGTTCATTTTATAACAGTACAACTACTGATCTTATTCAAGTGCAACTTTCGCTTTGAATACATGTTTTCTATATTCTGCAATATCAACAATTGACTCTATCAGAGAAGCGCAGCCTGTATAGCCAGGCTCCTTAAGGGAGTAAGAAAAGAGAGGCTGGAGTGTGATAGGGATGAAAAAAGCTCTCATGTATCTACAGTTCCACCTTCATACTCTGACTGACTTCTCTTCCGCCCTCCCCCCCGGAAATCATGTGATCTCAAAGAAAATCCCCCGACCCCCCCCCCCCCCCCCCCCCCCCCCCCTGCGATAAATAATGACAGATTCCTAAATTTTTGTTGGCTGAACAGGTCGGTGTGTGTGTACCACAGGATTGGGTTATACAACCATTGCAAACTTCAAACCAAGAAATGACAGAAAGCACGATGATATCCGCTTTGAGTTTAAAAGTACTCAATCGAGTGGAATGATCATGTATGCCAAAGGATACTACAAGGATTATATTTACATTGGTTACAAGGATAGCAATGTTTTTATGTACCACATTGAGCTGGGCACAGGTACCTAAGCCTTAATCCTTTACACCCTAACATCAGTATGCATAATCTCCATTCTGTTCTCTATACATTCCCTAAGGAGCTGATAAGGAGAATTTGTTTGATAATCAAGAGCTTCTTTAGTAGGTGATTAGTTCCGTTACTCTCGTGACCCTAACATGTGTTTCATGGGTGATACTGTAAGGAGATTTTTAGATGCTAGTCACTTTTTTAGCATTTTTCAGCATTGTCCAGTTTGAAAGTGTGGATGGCTGTTTATGAAGGAGTACTGAGTTAAAGAAACTTTCATGCTACTTCGGTGGTAGGGGGGGGGGGGGAATTACAAGATCGTTTGTTTTTAATGTAAACTAGCCACCGTGAAGTGTTTATAAAACTGACGTTTCGAGCAATAGCACAGTGCTAGGTTGAAGAGTAAGAGGCTAACGCTCGAGACGTCAGCTTCACAAAACTTTTTACGGTGGTCAATTTTTACATAATAACTCATGCGTCATGATCAGTTGACAAAACCAGATTATAGCTGTGTTAAGATACACACAACTTATACAGATAAATGTAGGATGACCCTCGAGACCTTTTGCAAGCAAGTGAAGGGATAAATTTTAAAATACGTATCTTGATTATTTTAATTATACAGAATGACTCTTGGTTCTTTGTTCATTGAGAAAGCAGAATATTTAAAAAAATTTTTACAGAAGAGTTAATTTGTTTACCCACGACGAGAATCAAGTTTTTTCAGCTCTTATACCTTTTCTCCCAAATTTTCTTTTTATCTGTTAGTACAACAAACGTTTCGTATTTAATAGAAGCTGATTCGTTGGGCAAATTGTTTCATAGGAACAAAAAGGATGGAGACAAAGAACTTGAAACTAAACGACGATAACTGGCACAAGGTCCACCTGACCCGCGCCGACCGAGTGCTTACCATCAGCATTGACGACGTAACTCGTGAGTAGACTGCTTTTCTCATTGCTTCTAATTGTAAAGAACAGTGAGCCAACTTGTAAGCCAAGAGTATACCGAATATTTCAGGTTGCGAGATTAGTAGAAGAGCATTTTTCAATTGAGTGTTGAAAGTTATCCAAGATTGGATTGGATATGCTTTACTTCGCTCCTTGGTCTAGAAAACTGGTGCTTTCAACCAATCAGATTCAAAACCTTAACCAATCACGACTTGGTCGCCTAAGTTTTCCCGCGCTTTAGAAAATTTGGTTATTTTTACCTTGAGTTCTCATTGGCCATTTGCGATACTTTCCTTTCTTCTGCCTGGCCGTCGTGATTTAAAGACATTCAATCGAAAAGCGCCCCAAAAGTATGCCATCAGAAAACACCTTCAAGGAAATTCAAGGAAACTGCAGTTTTCATAGATATTTAAAAGCGCAGAACCCAAGGTTATCGTCTAGCACAAACAATATTCTTGGACAGATAAGTTTTTCTTTCTTAAGGCCGCAGGTACAAATCACTTGTTGCTCTTCAGGAGTGAAGAAAGCCGCACACGTCGCTTCTCGGTTGAAACAAATGAGAATAGTTCTCCCTTGTTGAAGCCATAGAGAACGAACAATAGGATGTTTTACTTTCACACGCATTCTGCGTTGATTGACAACAAAATCTTTTATATTTTGTCTCTTCAGTCTCTGGACAAGCTCCAGGAGGTTACAATCGTCTTGATATACCAACCGCAACAGCATATTTCCTGGGAGCTCCAACAAGTTTGAACCTGGAACCTAATTTCATTGGCTGCATCCGGGATTTTACGGTCGATGGCTATGAGCCACTAACAAACGCCTGGGTAGGAAAGCCAGACTATTCGATAGTGGGCAAAAGTTCTATGAGACAATGCAGCTAATTTGAGAAATAAGACGGAACATCCTGGCTTGAGGGATTTGTTAACATAATTTTCTTTAATCGATTGTAGTCACGCATTTGTTAGATTTTTTGATAACGCCAAAGAGGCTCACATTATATTATAATCAGGGAAAAAAACATTGACCATGTTTGAATCTTATTCGGAGAATAGGATTACGATGACTGTTTAAACGCCTTTAGGGACTGTTCATTAATTATTGCTTGGGAGAGAGGGGGAAGGGTACAGGATTTTGATTGTATCACAATATAAAAACTTACCTGTTCCCCTCCCATAGGGCTGTGTGGTTTTCTAATAACATCCTCCCCCCCCCCCCCCCCCCCCCCAAAAAAAAAAAAAATTTGGAGTCAATTTTCTATGGCCACCCTCAAAATTCTGTCAGAGACAACTGATTCCTTCTCTATCCCCCTGAAAACCTAGTGATCCTCCCAAAATCCTCTGATGCCCCCCCAAGCTATAAATAGTGATTGGTCTGTTAACAGGTCTCCCTCAGAGAATCATTGAGTTCTTTAAGTGTAACTCTTTAGCTCATTTTTAATGTAATATTGCATTGTTAATATGCTGCTAATGCTTTAGAATTGTACAAAGAAAGTTGTAGTAAGGCTGTTGCTTTTGCTAAAAAGAGAGACCATCAGTTATTAAACTATTGGTTGAGTTGAATATTGTAAATCTCTTGGAGGAGGGGAGGAGGGTAGAACCTCATACAAAGAAGGCAAGCCTCTGCAAGCCAAATTCCTCTTAACAGTGGACTCCCCTGAGCCTTACAAAGGTTCTTTATCCATCAGATGAGTTTTCTGCATGTATGTCTGCATTGCTTTAAACATACATGTAAGGTTTGTGACAAGTGAAACTTCCTCGAGTTGCTTTCCAATATGCCAGCCTGTCAACAAGTAGGTTCGTCTCGTTTGAGGATAATATTCAAAACTGCAGTGAAAAGCAATAAAAACTGGAAGATGGAAGAAGTTAGCGATCAAATCTAACAATGATATTCGACCACAGCTGCATTAAATATCATTCAGCAAATACCGAACAACCATGGCATTACCTCCACTAGCTTTACTGGGTACGGGTATAATGTGATAGCAGAAAATACTTTTTCTCAATTTCAGCAAAAAATAATGGAGAATTTCGCTCAAAACCACATGATTACAGAATGGGAATAACTACTTTGTGCACCCTGATTCCAATAGGCTGGGTGAAATCTAATGCACAGTGTCACACCTTTTGCATAGGGCACCAAAAAGTTTACAAGGGTGAGAAAAGGATCATTTGAGCACAAAATCTAATTTATAATTTGAAAGGGGGGGGGGGGCAAGGTTTTTTCTTTGTTGCAAAACAAAAAATTTGTTTTAGATGGACACCCTTCTGTCCATAAGCATTTCCCCATTTTGGCCAAAATGTTAATGAAGAGGTGCTTATTCCATGAAAAACAGTATCCTCTGTTTTACAATAGACAATATTTCCCAAACTTAGTTTCACAAAAAAATTCTTCAAGGCTTTGGAATCTTGTAGTTCATAGTAAATGTGTATGATTACATCGACATCCAGTGTAACTAACTTACATGTTTATTTCCCTTCATTCAACCTTTCTATACCACATGTTTGTTTTAGCTAATGGTTAGATAAGGACTTGGCTTATGCAAAAATTATAATAATATTTTTTTTAATGTACTGTTGCCACAACATATGCAGTAGTACCTCAGTGAGTGAGTGCAAGCAGCATAGGTTGCAGGCTTGGAGAGATATGCAATTGGTGTATGCAACACTATTATACAAAAGTATACCTCTAACTTGAGCTGTGGCCCTCTTGAAAGTAAGCAAACCCTGACTCATCCAAATTACAAGATTAAATACCTCTAAAATCCTGCCTATACCATTGTGGTTTTAAAAAAATGTTGTTCCCTGTTTTTGGCTGACTCAAATCTTTGAGAACAGAATAAAATGTTTTTTTACTAATAGATGAGCTTGAAACTAGCAAGCTTATAAGTAAGGAAGCTTAGAACTATGATTTATTTAATGAATAGAGAAGCCTTGACTGTGCTCTGTTCTGTTATAGAACATGCAGGAAGCAGCTAGAGTATGAAAGAAGTGTAGGGAGAAACACGAGACATAGTTGAGTGTTTCCCCCACTTCTTGAGTGCTCTAGCCGCTTCCTAAGTGCTTTACAACAGAACAGAGCACAGTCAAGGCTTCTCTATTTGTTTTATAATAAAGAATTCATTAAATTCCCCAAGAATTACTTTCAATTTTCAAAACAAACTTTATTTTCAAAGCGAACAACAATGTCATCAGCATGCTCTATACTCTCATAAAGCATGCTACAATAAGCCAATCAGAATCCCTGTTAGAATGGTTCAAGTAATCTGATTGGCTGTACAAGACAAAAACTGTCAAAAGTGTCAAACCATCAAAGTTAAAAAACCATCAAAGTTCACAATCTGCGATAGTTTACAAACTAAATAGTTTGGCAAGTTGAATTTAACACTTTTGCCTGAAGTTTCTGTCTCTAGTATAGAATCTTGAAGTGAAATGTTCAGTGAACTTCAGCTGAATAAAAAACAAAAAAATAAAAAAAACAGCTCATAAAAACATGCAAGTTTTTTCATACGACAAGGTAGAAAACAAACTGTGCAAGACGAGTGTTTTTTGAATGAACGACAACCGAATTCACCAGAACATGAAGATCGCTCGGGATGACAGGGATTACCGTAGTTATGACCAGAGATCGTCATGATGAGCAAGCCGCAATGGACTTCAGCATGATCATATTCACTTTGACACCGTTATAATTAGTATGAATTTTAACAGTTATGCCAGTTTGGTTATATTTTTCATCATTTCTGTTTTGTTCTGTTTTGTTTTTGAACACTGAACTTTATATACTATATGAGTGTTAGCTGTTTGATTTTTATTACCGTATGTAAGCTTGCAATCTAACTGAACGTGAAAATCTTTAAAACTTGGAATGTCTATTTTGTTTTTCCTTTGAGGATTTTCCTATCTGCTCATGTTTTAATAACATAAATTACAGCACCTGGTATTTTTACAAACGTTTGTTTGGTTCTTCTGTTGCTACTTGCCAGCTCGCTGGTTTTGAAATTTCACTTTCAATTATTGAAAAAAGCTAAAAAAAAGTCCCACGAAAGGTCAAACATTACAATTTGGGAGATGGCGTGACAGCTTTAGCTCAGTTCTATGCTCTATACTCTCATAGAGCATGCTCTTTCAACCAATGACAGCATGCATTATATCCGAACTTTATTATAAATTATGCATGTTGGTCACTTTCCAGTTTGGTGAATTAACATAGTGGATTATATACATGTACTGTATCTTGTCAATTATTACATCTCTCTATTACTAAATGCACTACAATTTGTCTTACAATTAGTAAGCTGTATTTCACTCTACAGCCTACTAAATTCAAAAGCTTGTTTTACCGGTAATTGAGATCTACCCTCTCTATTTGAACCTAGAGATATAATAGAGATACTACTAACCTTATTTTCTCAGTCTCTATTGTCAGCTAAGGAATCTTGTTTTTTTTCCCACTCAGACATATGGTTTGCTTTGCTCCAGGGTCATAAAATTGAGCAGAAAAAATTTGGTCTCTAACTTTCAAAGTTAGTAAGAAGTATGTATATTATTTCAGCCTCTCTAAGAAATGGTGCGGAACACCAAGATTCTTAAGATCTGTATGGAAATTTCTTTTGCCTTCAAGACAACTTGTGACAACTTCCCAGCATCTTTCCACAAGAGGCTGCCAAGCTATACAAAGTCTAAAAACATCATTTGACCTGGTGGCTTCATTAGAATTGATGGTCTTCACACCTCCAAACACATACATGTAGCCTGACGGAGTAACTGCAGCCGAGTGAAAGTAAACAGGGTAAGGCAGAACCTGCATTTGGATCAAAGAAACTAAACTTCAATACAGAGACAATCGGCATACTTGAGGGTCTGCATCATTCCTCTCAGTATTGAGCAAGAGCCAGAAGTAGAACAAAACATAATAGGTGTCAAACTTTTGTAAATTACACCATATGCATATTGTTCAATATGGAGCACAGTATATTTTAAACCTTTCACTCCCAAGATCTCATTGGTAATTCTCCTTACTGTCTGCCATACAATCCCTATTATGTTTTAGTTTTGAATATATTTTTATGGATCAAGTAATAATTACTTAACCCTTTAACTCCCAAGATCTGATTGTTAATTCTCCCCTCTAGCTGCTACACATTTCCTTGTAAATAAGTTGTGAGAATTTGGTTTTAAATTGAGATAACAAATTCTACCTGATGGATTTGAGAATTCTCCTTACTTATTTGCTGGATATTGTAGGGAAAAGTTACTTGTTAGTCACTTCTGAGAGTTAAAGGGTTAATTGATATTTCTCTCTATTCTCATCACTTGTCTGCTTCATATTATGTTGATACTGTTGGGAGAAATTCTGTTTTGGCCAATTACAAGAGTTTCAAGAAGGGTTAAAGGTAAAGAACCTCAATCTGTTTTCCTAGATGGAGTCTATTTGAATGGTTGACAAAGCATGAACAAAAGAAGCCTTTTGTTTCTTCCTACAATGAAGCATTTATAAGATCATATTTTTCCTTATCTGACTAAGCTAAAAATAAGTTTTGATGATGTTCGTCATGGTGCCAAATATTGCCTGATTCTTTTTTATCATATTTTGGCCACAGGATCAACATACAGTAATCTTACACAAAAATCTAAAATGTCAATACCCTGTGAGAATATTATTCATGCAAACACTTGGCCTGTATATATCATTTGTTACTCTCCTTGCCGTCTTGATCCAATTTTGGGTTGACTACACTGCAGGGATCTACAAGTGGTCACTGGTCTATAGAAATAGGTTATTCACCCAGCTTTTTCTTCTTAAGCACCAAATCTAGGGGGTAGGCCCAGCTTAAAAAAAAAACTTTAATGAGAAAAGCGTGTGAACACCTTAGCCCTAGGCGCCTAGTAGTACTCTAAAACTTGGGAAAGGGCGGGACCTGCCCCCAAGTTCGCCGAAAACACTCCAAAGCTCCCTGGTGCGGTACACAGGCTACATGCGGTTGCAAATAAATCATTCTTTCGTATTAAATACCTTGTGGTGTTTTTTCCATTGAAACGTCGCTAGATCAAGGCTCCATATATCATCAAAAATGTTCGACCCGTCATAACCTCCGCAAATGTACACAACTGAATTAAAAATTACACAACCATGACATCTTCTACGCTTAGGAAAACCATGAGTTCGGGAAGGATAGCAAACATGCTCCTCCCATTGTTTAGAACCAAAGTTAAAGGACTGAATTTTCTCCAACTGGAAGAAAATTGCGGGGTCTCGATTGCTCATTCCACCACCGATTACGTAAAACCTTTCGCCGTCGGAAACAGACTCATGTCTGTATCGGGGCACAGGAGGATTATGGCTTTTCACATACTCCCAAGTGTGATTGGAGAAGCTGTAACGATATAAATACGAGTTGAATTCTAGTCCCGTTGTACCACCAAAAACATACAATTCCTTGTCCCTAGACAAAACCATACTCTGTCCATAACCAGCAATCGGTGAAACACCTTCCCCATCACTTTCTTCTCTATCAGAATAAGTTTTCGTGAGATCAAACCACTGATGTCTCCTCAAAGAGCACACGTGAAGCTTTTTGCTATTACTCTCGCCAAAAGGAACCCCAGATCCACCAAAGACGATGAGGTTTCCTTTGTCATAGACAAGACAACTTGAGGCTACCTCATTCGGAAAGGGACCGGTAGTATTTACGCAGTGCCATGTTTTGGTAGCGATATTGAAGCGCCATAACTCACGGTAAAGGTAATTTTCGTTATGTGGAGAATAACCTCCAAAAACATACAGATTTCCATCATCAGCTGCACATCTATGCCCGCTTCTTGGCTCTGGAACCTGGGAGTTTGCTGCAGGACGGACTGTTTCGAGTAACGTTTCGGATGCCATGTTGTCAAAATGAACGCAGAGTACGCTGGGAAATAATGACATGACACTTCTTTCCTGGCAAAATTCTTAAAAGCTTTCATCGAAAGAGAAACGTTGTCTGCGTCATAATTTAGTTTAAGTGTTACGAAAAAATATTTATTACCATTAGAGGTGAGAACGAAAGGTTTTGAATAAGCGGCATCATTAAAAATAAAATCTTAAGAAATTATATTTAAAATCTTCCCCACCCCCTCCCTGAAGGTAGAAGTAATGACACGATGGCGGAAAACATGGCGGCAGATTTGAGTCCAACTGACAACGATGCTTTGGAAGCGCTGTTACAGGTTAGTTCTTTGAGAACAGATACGTTTTGATTTTATATTCACATTCTTAACTTAGCAGTAGTTTCAGATCTTGCAGAAAATTGTGTTAATGCTCGTGTCTGCACAAAGACAAGAGAAGAAAGCAAATAAACTTACATGGCAGCGTGCTTAGCAACAAACATGGGTTACAGTGCTATCATATCTCATACATTGAATATAATGAACTCTTGAGAGTCAATTTTTACACGTTTGAGATAAGACCAAACATTATCATCAATTTCAAACGCAAATCAAATTGGTTTTTCCCAATCCTGCTTGCAGTAGACAAAGCTACTGAGTTTGAACATAGTTAATGTCCTAACAGACTTGAGCCTACCAGTAAAGCATAACACAAGGCCATTAGTTAAGTGTCTGTTAATATGACAGACATTCACTTGAACAATGATGGCAGGATCATCCATGTTAGGCTTGTAATACATCTGTAAATCCAGTTTGCATAATTAGTGCCTCAATATCTACTCATACACTTCTGTGGGAGATGTGATACAGCTAAACCCATGCCCAACAGCATTCAATAGCTGTAATTTCAGCTGATGCTGTCATGAAAAACTAGGGGAAAACGATTACCAGTTTGCTGTAGAAATTAATGTATATTTAGTTGTTGAAATACCTTCAGTGAAAGCTCTGCCTACAAGATGGACCCTACACCTACACGAATGCTACCAAAACTTTGGCCAGTTTCTGTAATATGATACCACCAGGCCTGGTTATTTGAAGAGTGGATAACTGGATAAAGGAATATCATATTTTCCGTAGTACCCATGCTTTAATAAGCACCCTCCTCCAAATAATGCCCATCCCCAAGGCCATGTTGTCAAACAAATGCCCCCTCTCCCCTCACTCTCTTAAATAGCAGTGATACAAGAAAAACCTGTTTCTATTGCCACTTAATTTATAACTTTTTAAGCTTCAGTTAAAGTGGGATCAGCAAAGGAGAATAACAAGGATCCCCCTCAATTAAGCACCTTCCCTTCAATAAGCACCCCCCCCCCCCCTTGAATTTTGAATAAGTATCTAGGTACATATGTGTGGAAATACAGTAAATCACCATCACTATAATTGCTTTTTATGCTGTGTAATAAATGTTATATACTTATGAAAGGACATTATAACTGTCTGTTGTATAATTATATCAATGTGCTAGAAAGAAAAGGTACATTTTATTGTGTAATTGTTTCCATAAGTGGTTCTGTTTAAATTAATAAAGGGGGTAAGTTCTAAAGAAACTGTGGTGCTGTGTCGGTAGGAGAGTATAACAGGGTAATTTAATGTTACCAACTGAGTTGAAAACGTAAATTGACCACTGTTAAAAAGTTTAAAGGCTAGCGTTTCAAGTGTTAGCTCTTTATCAGAGCAATTGAAATTTTTCTGTTTAAATCACACTGCCTTTTTCCTATGATTACATATATTTATTGCAGGGCCTTCAAAGAGATATTAACTGCCTTAGTGATGATAATAGAGGAACAAGAAAGAGAGCCCTGGAAAAGATAACAAAAGAAGTGTTTTCAAAAGCTAAGTTTTCAGCTGCAGTACTTCAAGTCACTTTTGAAGAAATACTTAAACCCATTTTGAAGCTGTTCTCAGATCCAACTGAAAAGTGTCGGGAGCTTTCTGTCCAGATGGTTTCTGAGTAAGTCATAGAAGTGTTTTATGAAGATTAAATTAAATTTGAATTTAAAAGTTTTAAACTCAAATTTAATTTAGTGAACATGGAATATCCTTTTGTTATTTTCAAATTACAACAGCTGCATTTGCATTTCTGATGATTTCTTCTGACAATATAAAACTACAGGACAGAGTAAAATGCTTTTTGATGAAGTTAATTATTGTTTAATCCCCTCTTAAATGAATCCCTCACACTGTGCTCCTCCCACTTCAAATTTAAGACTGTCATGCTACTGTTTCTCCACCAGTTCATCATATGATATTGTTGAACAAAGAGTTGTGTATTTTACTTACAGAGACAATAAAACCCTTTTTCATCCAATTTATTAACTTCAAAATAATATACTTGCTCCTCTCTGTCAACTGTCTCATCCTCTGAAATGGGGGAAGGGAGGGTGGGAGTTAAAAGGTCAAGCAGTATTTAGTTCGATGCGAGTCTTTTTCTCTGTTTAGATTTGCAAAGCAAGTCACAGATTTATGGTCATTTTTACCATACATCATCCCAACTGTGGTACAAAGACTTGGTCAGCCAGAGATAGTGGAATCTTGCGAGGAACTTAGGTTGTATTTAGTTGAACTGCTGTGTTCTGTGACAGAGATCTGTGGTGAAAAAATTGGTGTATATATTGATGACATGGTAAAGATTCTTCAGAGAACTCTGGTTGATCCATTTCATGATGTGAGGAAGGTTAGTTTTGTCTGAAGGCTATTTATAGATGCCCTTGGAATGAAGCCTAAAGATACTTTTGTTTACATATAGATTTTCTTTCCTGTTTGCCTTGTGAATGGAAGAGTATATCATGAAATTAGATCAAGAGTAGCTTTGGGCATTTCTTAGGCATCACTTCAGTTTTAATGTTTTAAGGAACTCAATTACTTTTTTTGTATTTGAGTTTTAATTATAGCAGCTATTTCATTAATTGACACAATTATAATCAAACAAAGAAAATTTGTATAGTTTTTTTCTGAATGTATAATTTACACATACTTTAACTGAAGTCATATATAATTGTGCTCATATATTATTTAAAATATCCACCAACCCAGAGAATAAAACATTAAAATCTCAGTAAATAAAAATGTTTGTCTTAACAGTGCATAGCTTTACATGCATTAAAAAAAAAAAAGACCCTGCTTCTAAAAAAGTGAAAGTAAACATTTATCTACTGGATTAAAATATTGTGTTTGATAAATAAACACAAAACCTGACAAATTTCTCAACATAAATTACATAACATTATACAGTGATGCAAACATCAACCACAAGTACACAATACAGCTAATGACATTTACAAACACTCACAGGTAATTAACATGTAATAACATGTAATGCAATACACAAGAAACAGTATAACAATAAGTTTCATGATAACACATGCTGAGGGGAGGATGCAGTGGTGTAATGGTGAGTGGGCTTGGCTCTTGGTCAAGTCACTCTATTGTGTTTGTGAGTCAGCCACCGTGCTCTCACACTGCTTGTTTAGAAGCACAGTTGTTAAATGTATATTCATTTGGTGAACTGCCATGGAGACCTGACAAAATTCTCAGGGTTACATGTGTGGAGGTATCTTTCTATAATGGACTATCAACCTTAATTTCCGCTCAGACCAATAGCCTTTTGATGCTACAGAAACTAGAATAACTCTGGCAGGCAAGATGAACAACTTGGCTTGTGTTCAGACTCTGTTCATGTAATTTTGCATGTTGCGTATTGTTTTTGGTCATTAACTTGTAGAAAGCCATCCTAATACTCTAATGGCTCAGTGCAATCTGTGAATTAATTTTAAACAAGGTCTTGTCTTCTTGTTCATAGGAAAGTTGCCGTTGTACCAATGTCTTGGCTGTGGCTGTTCCTGACCAGTTTTATTTTCAAGCTAATTCTCTAGTGAATCCTCTTCTCAAGTCTCTCTCTCATCAACACTCCAAAGTTAGAGTATCTTGCATACAGGTGAGAAATATTATTTAACAGTTACTGCAAAAATTGTACAGCGTTGTTGTAGGTTTTTTCCTTCCCCATACAGTAAACTTAAGTTGCTTGGTACTGTAACAACCAACTTATTACCTGAGGGGTGCAGGTCTTACTAGGCATCATTTTTCAGGACTTTCCTTTCAACATTCCTTGAGTGGTATCTTAGACAAATGGTTAGAATTGATTAGTTGATCATCATTTGCTGGTCAAGTGTTTTTTAATTGTTAATTAAGGTCTTATTAAATGAATTTATTTATGATTATCATATAACAGGTCATTTAACCCTGAAACTCAGAAATGGTTAACATGTAACATCTCCATGTGATTTGGTACATTATCTTGCCAACAGATTATGAGAACATACAAGCTTTACCTTGTCCTTGATTTCTCTTGAAATAAAACATAAATTAGGTCTTAAGTTTTGAGGGGTTTCACCTCAGCATAAGATGAAACTGAAGGAAAAACACAGACAATTAAAAACTGTCTGTAAAGCCACAAAACTCAGTCAACAATTGTTGGCTAACCTCCCTGTTAGCTTACTCATGACTTGAATGGCAAAGCCCTGATTTATAGATCGGATCTTAGGAGTGACAGAGTTAGGAGATATGTGAAATAAATTGGTTACTTATCATCATTCAATTTGACATTATTTTAGACCCTAGGTATTGTTATTAAAGGTGGTGATGGCAAAAATGTTGATGATGTGGTGTCACATCTTGCACAAAGAACATTTGACAGTGCACCAACTGTAAGAACAGCAGTGACAGGTGTTGTTGGTGATTGGCTCTTAAACCTCAGAGATAGGTCAGTCAAATGGTCTGTAGGAGTTAAAATGTTGACTGGAAAAATGTTATACATGTACATGTAATTAATATGTGAACAACACTGAGCCCCATATTTGTTTACCCTGAATATCTTGTGCTAATGTCTTTTCTCAAACTTTAGGTAAAGTCATCTGAATTTGTATCAGACTAATAGTAGTAATAGTAGTATGATTTTACCGTGGACATCTTTAACAGCCCAGTCACATACATCCTGAAGTCTTTCATTTGAACCAATATCACTGTCACGAATTACGGTCAACTCGCCGACGGACCAACTCGCCGACGCCAACTTGCTGACGTATAAAATCGAGTAGAGACGTCGGCAAGTTGGTCCTCAATCCAATACAACTTATTAGAAGTTAAACATACAGAAAAGTAAACAATATTTAGTAAAAAAAACACTTTGTTGCAAATAGAAAGAATTGCTCTTTACTAAAGATCTAGAAAGCCAAGTTTTCTTAAAAAAATCTAAGCGATTGACATGATGAGTCTTTACGGTGTTGTTGTCGTACAATAACTCGTTTGCGTCTTTAGTTGTTATAGTCATTGGTGATGTTCACCAATGTTTAAGCTTCTGTTTGATGTTCACCAATGTTCACCAGTGTTTTTTTTACTAAATATCGTTTACGTTTCTGTATGTTTAACTTCTAATAAGTTGTATTGGATTGAGGACCAACTCGCCGACGTCTCTACTCGATTTTATACGTCGGCGAGTTGACTGGATACCACTGTCACTCTAACTATCACTGTCTTTGTCATAATCGTAATTAGTGTAATTATTATTGGTAGGCAGGTATAATTATAAACTTACTATTACTATTTTTTGGATAAATAAATTATAATTATTATTCTTATAATTGAAATCATGAGCTATTATACCAAATCATAAGATGCTATTTTAAGAACTTTTGTTTCAGTTGAGAGGGTTGCACTCGCTACAGCAGGCAAAAAAATGTAATTTTAATAAATATGATTGAAAAGATTTTTAAAACTTTATTAGTACAGAACAAGTTTAAACTTAATGCTAATAACATGGGTATTCAGTTTGATAAAATATATTATATTTTCTGGCAGATATTCATATTTTCATAAACTACTGCCACTGCTGATGACAGGACTATCTGATGAGTTACCTGACATCCAGAGGCAGTCAAAACTACTCATGAACAAGGTGTCTATATATGTCACATAATTTCTCACAATTTCTTGGTAGATATTATACAACATGGTTCTACTACTGATCAGTAGTGCAAAAAAGTGTTTTTTCCTCATTGAAATTTTTTAGTGGCAATTTAACACCATTAACTTATGAATTCATTTCTTCACAGGTTGGTGATCAATATGCTTTAGAAAATGAGGAAGAATTAAAGGACAGAATGAATTTTGAGGAGCAATCTAGTTACAGACTTCAAACAGGTGGTTAATGGGTATTTCATATTTATTTATTATTGAAATGAAAACCAAATTATAACATTTGATCTTACAAGGAATGTTGTGCTTGTGAACTTTACAAGTTGGCTTTTACAGTAGATAGAGCTCTTTATCATCATTTTGTTTTCAAAGGTATGGATCGTCCCAGTCTAGGATGCAGAATATTAGTACAAAGAAATCTTTCCAAAATTTTACCAGCTGCATTACGTGATATGGCAGATTGGACAACTGACACAAGAATCAAGGTTTGTGCCAGAACTGCCTTTTTCTTGTAAATGTCTCGAAAATCTTCTTCATGGCTTAAAACAGTAAAAAAAAGAAGGTTGTTGCAAGTTTGCTTGTGGATGCAGAAATTGTGTGTTAGTAGAATGTTTTATGTTTGATGATCCATTACTTTCCTGAGAGTGATTTTGGGTCATCCTAACTAGAGTAATGTAGTTTTTGATCCATGGAAATACATATACACACGTTAGTGTGCTTAGAATTGAAATTTTTCACGCACATGTTTGTTAGCATTATCGGTTTACATGCAAACAGAAGAGAATGATTTGGAAATTAAGCATTTATTTGATAAATTTAAAAAATCTTTGTTGAAAATTTTGATTAAGCACAAGCTGGTAAAAGAGAGCCCTATAAACATAAACTTAGGTTTCACTGAGGCCTCAGGTATGAATTCCACTGGAGTCAGAGATTTTAATAGAAAAATGTGTAACATTTTCATAAAATTGATTAAACATAACCTCGCAGGGTCTATCAGGATGTTGGGGTATCTTTTTGGAAATGTCAGAAAAAATGTTGAAAGATCTTTGATCTCCATTTGTTTTTTTGGGATATTTGTATACAGTTTAAATCAAGTTCCCTTAAGTTTCAAATTCAGATTAACATGCGCCTGCTGCTGCTGGTATTAAAAAAAATATATATATATATTTAATATGGTTTTAAATACTAGTCATTTATTTTTGTCTTCTACCAGGCTTCATCTCTGGTTTATTTTTTACTCTTTTATGCGGAGGATAATACAACTCAACACATGGAGATCTTGTTACAAGGCTTATATAGGGCTAGCCAAGATGAAAATGAACAAGTTGTAAAAGAGGTAACTGGAAAGAGGATGGTTGAACTTTCTACCTGTACTATATGCAAGATTCTATACCTACAAGTGTATTTTAATGGTTTGGTTCAGATATGAGCAAATTTGGGAAGGGGTGTGGTCCCCTATGCTTTACATTTGGGTGTGAATTGTTTGTGAGTTTCTTTGGAAAAGCAGAATAAAAAACCTTGAAAATTAAAGAAAGTGTGAGAAATTTAAAATCCCCTAGACCATGTGAAACTAATATGTCATTTAGTACCTGGTTTTGAGTACAATTTTGTATATATTGTATTTGACATATGAAAGAGAAGTCATAAGCTATAACATGTGGTGAGGCTCCTCTCCCTGAGAGCCACATATAGCACTTTGGTATTGTAATGAGAGGTGGAGGTATGGAAGGGAGGAGACTTGGATCTCTTTCCTGTTGCATAGAAAATGTTTCTCTGAATAAAGAACTCCAGCTTACCATCACTTTCAAACTGCTTTGTTGTCTTTCATGTTGGGCTTTTTTTTACCTAAACATTTTTCTTCTCTTAATAGGTTGTGTCAAGTGCTGAGCTTGCAGGCTGTTTTGTAGATCCTGCACTTTTTTGTAAGCTAGTGCTACCCCATCTGAAGTCCTCTGCAGGAAGTTCAACAACTGCCTGTAGTAGTTGTTTAATGATTCTAGCAGCCTTGCTAAGAGGCTGCAACCCAGAGCTTATTAAACCCCATCTTAAGGTATATATGGTCACCATCGAAGTTATACTTGTCTGCTAACCACTCAGACAAATTTTTGTTTGAGTTGTGAATCCATTGACCATTAATACTGTTCATGGTCTTATCATGGATCTGTGTAGAACTGACAATAATTTTTATGGGGACTTGGCATGTAAATGTGTCAATCATCAAAGTGTGGACATTGATGTCAGAATGAAGTTTAACTTATAATTATATGAAAGGGAGTTTTCAGTTTTCTACTTGCTATTAGCAGCTTGCTATTCTTAAAATGCTGCTTGTAAGTTGCCAAAAGTCACCTGAAAGAAAACTTTCCTAGAAGAATAAAGCTTTCAACAGCCTTCTTCTTAAAAATCATTTTTACCTTACTCAATGAAATTTGTTTTAAACCTCACTGTTTTAGCACTCTTTTAAATCTTGCACTCTTTTAAATCTGCTTTTACCTTACTAGAACCACATTGCTTTGTGTTCATGGGGATGAAAAGCTATTCAGTTCTCAAAACATTTTCTGGCAGAGTATGCACCCAGACCCCCTTCTTGTGGAGCTTAATATGCCTTTGTTACTTGAATCATCACCTTGGTTTGAAGTTTAATTGTCCCCTGATTTGATGCATAGTTTACTGAGATCCCTGTTTTGATGTTCACTTACTGTTTTCTTTCATGGTGACACTGAAATGGAATCTACCTAATTCATTAATTGATAAAGACAAACAATATTCAAACAAATGATAACCTTTGTGAGACTGTTGAATTAGTACACCTAATTCAGTAAAAAGTATGCTAAACCTAACTGCATTGACTTTTTGTTTATTATGCCAGGATGTTTGTGGCACAATATCCCTTGCTGATGTCTGCTGTACAGAACATTTATCATCTCAGCGACATCTCTTGGCAACTGTTTCAGCAGTTGTTGATAAGGCTGGAGAAGAGAGCAGTGTTCACAGCTTTAAGTTGTTTTATGTCTTGTTACACGTCAAGGCACTACAGCGAGAGGGAAGCCTTGAACTTGAGGTACATTTCACATGCTTCATTAATATTCTAAAAAAGTTGACTAAGAGTTATTTCAGCCATCTTAACTTCATTGTGCACAAAAAGTAATTAAAGCTTGCTTCTGGCCCATGCAGCCAACAGTTCACATAGAATGAAGTAGTTTTGGCTGCTTGTCACCCCTTCTTCCACAACTGAGCATCTCAGTAATTTGCCTGACTCCAACTTTTTTTACCAAGGCAGAACCAGTGCAAACACAAATTCTTGACGCCATTATTAATAACAATGGTGGAGACACAATTGGCAATTGTCAATATATTAAAATTCAAACTTGGCTCAAAGACTTGGGGGAGTAAAACAAAAGAAACCAGTGGCATCAAGGTTGAGGGATGAATAATTAATTTATTTTGTTTTATTACCCCTAGCCTTAGAGCCATGTTAGAATTTTAATATATTGAAGATGGCCTATTAGGTTAGTTGAGAGTGGTATTGAACATTACATTCACAAGAAAACATTTTGAGCTAAAACTAAATACATTTGAAGAGAGAGAGTCAGAAATAAATTTGACTGAGGTACTTTTAAAGTCAAGCAAAGCAAGACTTGAGGTGTCTTGGCATTTTTCTTTTCAAATGGTTAATATCATGTTTATTCATTTTTCTTTTCAAATGGTTAATATCATGTTTATTTGATTATTCTTTATTTAACCAGGTCCATTCTGTTTTAACCAAACTTGCAACAGCACAGAGTTTAGCAAGTTCAAGTAAGCTGTATGAGAATCACATCCAAGACTTCTTGAAAAAATTAAAAGTAAGTGGTGTGATGGAGAACAAGCTGTTAGTTAGGTGTGTTTCAATATTTCTTGCCCAAATTTAGAGAATAATGATTACTGTAATTCTCACTTGAGGAAGTTGTTTAACATTGACATAAAGAACAATTTAACAGCACTGAATACTATAGAGGAAGCAAAGGCTGTTGATTTTTGGTTACAATATTATAGGTTATTACAACTTTCAGTATCTCAATGAAAAAGGACTTTAGACAATACTCTTTTGATTTGTCCTTTGGTGTGTTTGATGGATTTTTTGATGTGATCTTCCTGAACCAAGGAAACATTTATAATTATACTGCAGTCAGTATAAATGACAGCACTAAATGGCTTATTCAAGACAGTAGTGAGTTGAAGAGGGGGACCATGGACAGGGATTTGTGATACTGCACTGTTTAAAGAAAAAATAGGAATGATTCAACACATATTTTTTTCTTGTTTTAGGAAAATCACACCTCTTGGACCCATCATTCTCCAGAGTGCCGTCTGTTTGATGTGTTATTGACTGACTCTGGACCAACCATTGGTCTGCACCTTCAGGATGTCATGGAGATTTTTACTGAATGCTTAGACAGTCAGAAAAAAGATCCTGAATTGAGGCTGAAGTAAGAAAGCGATTCTCACAATAGTGAACACTACTGAGCTAGTAGTTGAAATAAGACCTGAAAAAAATTCAGGTCCATATGGGCCTGAATTTTTTTTCAGACAGGCCTTATTTCATCCACAAGCTCAGTGGTGTTCATAATTGCAAGGATTGCTTCAATATTCATTTCTTTAACTGCAGTGCCCACATATGATTTCATATGACGTTACTCTGAAAATTGGAAGGTAAATCTTTAGGTTACAGTGGAGCATCCCATCAGTCATGTTGGATAACAGATATTCACAATAACAGTATCCATTTTTATGTTTCAATTTTTACCCTTCATGATTTGCAGAATGTTTTCACTGTTGTCGCGGCTCTTCATGAGTGCATCTGAATCAGTGGATTTACAGCAAGCTTTCAATCCTTTCTCAGTACAAGCTGTTCAAAAACTGATCATTCCTAACTGTGTATGGCAAGCAGGAAGGTAGGTGCTGTAGTAACCAATGAATCTTTTTTGACTTTACATGTTCTCTTGTTGTTTCCAGGATACAAAGTTGGTAGTGAAAGCAGTGTCGTGTCCATGCTCTCTCACATAGGTCAAAGTATATGTCTTTAATGCTTGGGAAGGTTCCAAACCTGCAAACATTTCAAAAGGAGCTGCATGATGCATGTCCCTTTTGTGTTGATAGGAATTCATGCTTAATTAGTGATTTAATGACTCATGTTATGAAAGCCTGAAGCCTATTTTTTTTTTTAAGAACTGCTGCTGCTGTTCGCTCTGCAGCAATCTCTTGCCTTTGGGCTTTGCTGCAATCTAACTTGTTGTCTTTGCAAGATGCTGGACAAATAATGAAGGATCTTCTCACTCAGGTACACAAGCTATGGATTTACTATTATATTTCATTTTAACACCTGAAAAAAAGAGATTTGTTGTCCAGTAATGGGTTAATTGTGAGTAAGTAAATCAGCTATTTTGCTAGGCTTTGATTCTCAATTTGTGGAACTCAAATTAAGAAATTCTTTGTTTATTATGCATGTACATCTGGGTGATACCAAGTATCTCCTCAGTGGACATACAACATTATGGAAACCATTTGTTTTACTTGTTTTGTATGATAAAAATATTGAGAAGTTCAAACGGGGCATATTTGTGTAATTTTTATCATTTTGCTCTTTTCTTTTTTTAACTTGAAATATGTTGTACAGAATATTCTGGTAACCTTTTGGGCAGTTTGACGTACTGTTGTCCCTGAGTTCTTCTAATCTCATCTGAGTCTCTCTTCTTCTTTGCAGCTCACCTCTTGCCTTGATGACCACAACCAAACCACAAGACTTGTATCTTGTAAAGCCCTCCAGAGACTCCTTATGTCTTGTAAAGAAAGTCTTAATGGTGGGTTGCATCATCTTTGTGTTGTTTCAGTTTCAGTATTATGGAATGAACTGAAGAAAAATGATTTTTAGGCAAGCCTATGTTAAAGAAAGGTGTGATATGGTTTCACCAAAGGTGCTTTGGTTTCATTTGTGAGTGTGCTGCAGTTTCCTTTTACCCTGCATTGGTATAACATCTACCTGTGACTTTTCAAAAGATAGTACAATTCACGACAAGTAATGTTAATTATAATTATCCTTTTTTCATTGTCTGAGGCATTGTTATAATGTAATTGCTTCATTCCACCCTTGTTTAGCTGATATGCTTCATCAGGTTTACCCTGAGTTACTGAAGAGAATGGATGATAGCAGTGATGAGATAAGAATTGTTGTCACCAAAACATTTCTTGCTTACTTTAGGTTAGTGCAGTTGAGTTTATACTGAAGAAATGTAAAATGGTTTCCATGTTTACATAACCTGATGTAAACACGCGGGAGGTTGGGAGAACACGAGATAAGCGTAGGAAACCACAATGCGAAGCGGAGTGGTTTCCAGCTTATCGAGTGTTCTCCCAACCTCCCAAGTGTTTACATCAGGCTATGTAAACACGGAAACTATTTTACATTTCTTTTATAAAATAACTAATGAAAGAGGAATGAAAACCGTGTTTACATATGCTCATGTAAAATGGTTTTATGGCCAATCAGAGCGTGCATACTATTTGAATTATTTTATAAAACTATATTTATCATTTTTGTGAAATACTGTGCAAAATTAAATGAGGTCAAATGTAAAAGTGCATGTCTGCCTGTAACAAATGGAATGTATTTTATGTATTTTCATGAACAGATCTTTAAAGTGTAGCAGTTTATAATGAGAAAAGAAATTAACAATCTTGAGTTTAACTCGAGTTCATTTTACTGACACAACATTCTGCAGCAACTCTGTCTCCTAGACTACCCTCAACAATATATCACAAATTAAACTAAAAGCACTTCTCAATACCATTTGTGGACATGAACAGCCTTTATTTTATCCTCATTGTCACTCTTTCAGCCAAAACTGATAAAATTCAGCAATTTTAATGGTTTGGTGGGAAATCTGTTTCCAGTCCTGTACAAGACCACTGTCAATAGTATTATCATTGATGCCTTACTAAATACTCCTGGACTTGGACAAACATTATTAAACAATTTTTGACCTTGTCTTTATCATATTATTCTTTTTGTTTATCAATTTCCCTTAGAGCATTTCCATCTGACTACGATTGTGACTTATACAAGTTACACCTTCAAGCCATGTTCAAAGGTCTCTTAGTACATTTAGATGACCCTTCAGCTTCAATACAGGTGAGTAAATTTATGAACACCTCTGGGTGCTAGTTTTAAATTGTAGAGATTCAATAAATACTGATAAATTAAAAGCTCCTTCAGTCACCAAAATCATCATTACATCTGTCTTCTGTCAGGACACTTCACATATTCCATTATCTATTTCTAGTCATTGTGATCTCACACATTCCTTAACAGAACTCAATACTTCTCAAAATGGAGAAAAAAAGCCATCAAAGTAGAACAGGCATCATCATCTATGTTAACTTTTAAGGGCATTTAACTACATGTACAGAGAAAAAACAATGAAGATGTATCAAAGGGTACTTTATACACCGAGGTGTTGAATGCAATCAGTCATCCCTATGAAAGATCAGAGCCAGAATAACGACCTTAGATGGTGAAACTAACTGCACCTTAAAGCAATTAACAATTTTGTCAAAAGAAATCCATGGATTGCTTTGCAGGTAATTTAGTGTTAACAACTGAGTTGAAAATGTAAATTAGCCACCGTAAAGGGTAAAAAAGCTGATGTTTGAGCGTTAGCCCTTCATCAGAGAAATTGAACAATTGATCGCTCTGATGAAGGGCTAACGCTTGAAACGTCAGCTTTTTTACCCTTAACGGTGGCTAATTTACGTTTTCAACTCAGTTGTTAACACTAAATTACCTGCTATACTCTCCTTTATTCATGGATAGCTTTGGTTTTGCTTTACCTCGTTCTGTGATTGATGTAGAAAACTTGCACCATTCTCTCAACCTATCATTTTCCCACACTTTAGGCATTTTAGTTGGTTTTACAGTGACTTCTCATTGGCTGTTAAAGTACTTCCTTTCTTCTAATTGGCCATTTTGATTACTTTGGTTTTAGTGTTTCAACATTCAATTCAAAAGTGCTTCAGTTGGAAAAGGAGTTTTGTATACTGTACTCTTCTTATTTTGCAGGAAGCAACGCTTAATGTGCTAAAAGATGCAGCAAAGGTGCAACCTTTGCTACTTAAAGAACAGGTGGAGGCTGTAAGGCATAAACACAGAGTGGCCAGGTAGACCTTTCATGGGTTTTCCTTATTAAGCTTGTTAAAGAGGACCTTAATTGCTCAACTTATGATGAAATGTATGTTTCATACTTCCCTCAAACAATTTCACAATGAAGATCTCAGGGCAAAAGTAAACATAACAGATCAAATTTACCAATTAAAAATCTAGAATGTGACCATGTAAACATTTCCAAAAATAAAAATATCACACCATACTTGTCACCTTGGAATTTTGTGATAGACATGGTTGTCTCGTATCAAGAAAAAAAAATTTTTTTTCTGTGAATACGCAACATGCATGTAATTGGGGAGTGTATCACAAACTACATAAAATCATGAACAAACTCAAAGAATATATATCTTATTACAAGTTTTGGTGGGTATTATTACTGAGTATTTTTACAAGTTGTGCTGTATTTTGACAAGCCTGTAGGGCAAGTCAAAATACAAACAAAGAGTAAAAATACTAAGCAATACTGCACACCAAAACATCTAAAATGTTATTTGTTATCCAACTGCTTTTTCTATGCTAAGTGTTTCTAATCATTTTTCATATGGCAAGAAAAGCAAAGTGAATAGAGAAGCATAGCACACACTGCCAACTGGTTAATCAGGTTTTCTTACAGTATAATATAACCAACTGTACAATATCACAGGCTACTTGTACTCTAATCATGCTTTATTTTTTCTCTACTTTGTGAAGTTGGATAACAAGGGGATGTTATGATCTAGCATGCAGAAAGACAGTTGATTCACAAAAGGGGAAACCAGAAGATGTAGTGTATAAGCCCAGTCATTCATAAACTTGTAAAGCCACTCATTTTTTTCATCAAAAAGCTAAACTAATGCTTTTCAACTCTTTAGGTACTGTGAGGAATTAATAAACCACTGTCAGGCTGTAGTGTGAAGGAGATTTGAACATCAGACCAGTTCTAAGAATATGTTTTAAGGTTCATGATCATGTGCTTGGGAAACTGTTCAAGAATGTACAAAGACGTCCACCTGAATCAATGTTTCAACAACAAGGACAAATTTGAGGGTGTGTGAATCCAATGCATAAGTACAAGATGGAAAGCTGTCAGCAAAGGAAAGTGCAGGGTTGATTCTTTACACATTTCCATCAACAGCATGGTATTTTTCTTCGAGGTTTCAACTTTCTTAACTGCCTTGGTGCTTAAGTGGCACAACAGGATGATTTATGCAAGGGAATATTGTTGTCTGTTATTTCATGAACATGTATACAGTGAATAGTGAGAGTATTTTAAATACCCTTACCATTCAATGCATAAATGTTCATGCGTAAAAGCTTAAAAGCGGGTATTTTCAGTGGCAGCAAGATCAAGACTCACTGGGAACACAAACATACTATTTTAATTGGATTTAATGCACATGAATATGACAAGATTTACTCTGTACTCTGCATAATTCATGATTTTTTGAGAATGGAAGGTATGAGAACTATACTGTAAAGACAAAGACAAAAACATTTTATACAAAATTTGTCCCAAAATAAAATGTTTTCTTAACACAGTCTCTTAGGATTGTTTTCTGTTGCATCTTGAGTTGTTTGATTGTGAAGTTGTTCCCTCCAGTGTTGCTGGTCTGATAGCACACACCACTGTCCTTGTTTGGCAGTAAGCAGTAAGTAATGGTAGGCTTACACCGTAACTTTCCTGTTGGATTGATTCATCCACTCTTATCTGCAATAGGGTTTGCATGGATGGTCACATTCTTTATTCGCACCTCAGTGAGTGGGCAGTATGTCTTCTCATTTACAGGGAGTTTCTCTAAATCATCAAGGGTCTCTAACCCATCAATCACTCTGCAAATAATATAATTAACAATTGGTTCATACGTAAACGTGCATTCATCGAGATATGAAGCATGCAGGAAGTTTGGAGAGCACAAAAGATGCGTAAGAGTTGCTCGAGGCATAGCCAAGAGCAACTCTAGCTTCTTGAGTGCTCTCCAAACTTCCCAAGTGCTTCATATCTTATAACATTTTCAAACCGAAGGAAAATTTTTTTTTTGCGAGGGATTTGTTTGCTGACATCATAAGCGTGCACAATAGGAATATGAAGCATGCTCACGCAATGGAATTTGATAAGACAAATTTACTAGCTATGTTATAAATTAAAATAGTGAAACTCTAAGGATTGTGTCCCTGAAACTCTTAACTCTTTCACCTCAAGGCGATTTTCAGTTCCTAACAATTCAAATTGTTAGAGAAAATTTTTGTCCTGTTCAATACTACAGTAAATGTATAAAGAAAAAAGATACAGAGTGCAGATAATATGAAAAATGATGTTGGGGACTAAAGGGCTAAATTCCATTTGACAGTTATCTCAAAGTCATTGTTTCTTTTAAACAAGTTGTAACAATTAGGATTTGTTATAACTAGAGAAATTTGGGGATTGTCATCAACACAAGCAAATGTTTCAAGTTTGCTGTATTAAGAAATAGTACATGTAATTGATTGCAAACACAGAGGAAGGAAAAATTAGGGAAAAAGGACAATAAGTATAGGATCCACGGCTTTCATTTCAGATGTTACATTTCTCCTAAAATGATCACCTTAAGTTTATTTTTCAGAAACGACTTACTGTATCTTCAACATACACAGTTACTTACTTTCCAAATACTGTGTATTTCATGTCGAGATGAGGTTGTTTGCCATAACAGATAAAAAACTGTGATCCATTTGTATCTTGTCCACTATTTGCCATTGATACTGTTCCTCTTGCATTATGCTAACATAAAGATGTTACATAATTACAATAAGAACCATGATAAATTTTGAGCTCAGTGAAGAAATAGAAAGAGATGTTTTTTCTCTTGTCACAAGCGCGGGACAAATAAAAAATCCTGAGTCCCCATGAGGAATCAAACCTCAGACCTTCAAACTGTGGGCCTCAATTCTACAGATACTTTGGTGTCCAAGGACTTTACAAAGTTCAGATATGACATGCATCCTGCATACTGCTAGGATTAGAAATGTCAATAGCATCATGTATGTAAATAGAATAAGAAAGAATAATGGTAAATTTGATACAATACATGATTGTATCTTTAATTAATCAGAAGACATGAACATTATTCAATCATGTATTTGAAATGTCCATGAGTTATTGCTATCACAGACTGGAAACAAAATCAGGCCAAGGTCATCAGTTTGCTTACAAAAAAAGAATCTGTAGATGCATGGGTCATTTGTGAACAATAAAAGTAAACAGCATCCTTTGTTGTGATAATGAATGACATACTTTAATTGGCTACAACAGATCTTTTGACAAGACTTGCCAAACCAGCCTATACTTGAAAAAATTCAACCCTTTAATTTCAGAGATCTGATTGTTAATTCTCCTCTCTTGTTGCTACACACCTCCTTGTAAATTAGTTATGAGAATTTGGTGTTATATCAAGATAAAAATTCTTCCTGATAAGTTCAAGTATACTCATTACCTGTTTGCTGGATAATGTATGGATATTATAGGGAGAAGTTGCATGTCAATCACTTGTGGAAGTAAAAGGGTTAGGGTACCAGATCACCACTGCTACATTGTAGGCTACAACAGTTTACTCCTAAATAGTATTCTGTCCTCTAAGGTTCGTTGTGATATCCACTGACACTAACCCTCAGTGATGGACTCAGCTCATCAACAAACTTTTTTCCCCAGATGCTTTTACCTCCTTTTCCTGTTCCTAAAATGAAAAATTGGATAACACTTAAACAAGGAAACTTATTGGTTACCTATTAACTGAATAATATCTGTTATCCTCCTTAAACCTTTAACCCCTAAGAGTGAGTAGGAGGTTGTCCTTACAATATCCTCCCTGAATCAAATATTAAGGTCACGAGAATAAAGGAAATGATCACCAACTAAAGAAGCTTGTGACTGTTATTTAAACAAATTCTCCTTGTCAGCACCTTGGGAAATTTATAGAGAACGGTATGGAGAATATGCATACTGATGTTAGAGTGTAAAGGGTTAACTACACACCTGTAGGATCACCTGTTTGTACCATAAAACCTTTGATGTTTCTGTTGAAAAGAAGAAGATTCTAATTTCTTATTCATTATACTCACTAGTATGTATACTTCATAACCAAAAGACAAATGAAATAATTTTGAACAACAGAATATGGTTCATACATACAGAGTACACAGAAGTTGACTGAATACACAATTTGCTTGTAAGGTTCACTTACCGATGAAAAACACAATTATCATAGTAACTGCTTGCACACAGAGCAAGAAAATTCTGTGAATGTAAGAGTAAAAGTTGGTACTTTTCAGTGATTAACAAAAACTTAATACCATCGAATATTACTACCTCACTCCTACCTCACATGCTTTTGGAGTGTCCTCACAATTAAGCTCAATTTTTAAGTCTCCTACATCAGTGTGCAAAGTCACAGCCTGCAATTTACAATCACAGATGACAACTTTGTGAACAAACTTTGCTTTGATAAATGGTGAATCAACATGCTAGCAATATTGCTCAATATAAGAATGCTGGGAATGTCACATCTCTTCATCCTTTGACCCTCTTAGGAAGACTAGCATCTAACCTCTCCATATAATATCACCAGTGAATCTTATAACTCTCCTAAATCACAAATTGAGGTCACAAGAAAGAAGAAAATGATCACCAACTAAGGAAGCTCTTGATTTTGAGCAATGATGATGTAAATAAAAATGGTAAATTAACTGGTAAAAGTGCTTAACTGTTAAATAAATTTTCCTCATTAGCACCTTGGGAAATAAATGAAGAACAGTATGGAGAATATCTTTACTGATGTACAGCCTATAGTGATATCTATAATGATATACTGCCTAAGGAGCTTACATTGGCTGCCAGTTCATTATTGGATAGTTTTTAAAATATTGTTGCTGAATTACAAAGTTCTGAATGGACTGGCCCCAGATTACATTAAAGACCTATTGAAGTATAATGACTCTTGTCGCACACTATGATCTTCAAACAACAGGTTGCTTGATGAGTCTAGAGTGAATCTTAAAACATATGGTGAAAGGGCTTTTTCCATGGTGGCACCAAGGCTCTGGAATAAACTACCACTCCAGATCAGGCTTTCATAATCAGAGGCAGTTTTTAAGGCTAATCTTAAGACTTTTTAAGCATGCATTTGATTTGTAGTCTTTACTTGTAGTTATAGTGTACTTAATTCTTAGGATTTTAATTTTTACCGTTTTTAGAGTATTGTAAAGTGCAATGGACAATTAATGGAAGATGGCGCTATATAAATGTAATTAATTTAATTAACTAATTGATGTTAGGGTGTAAAGGGTCAATTCTCAAGGCTTCCTAATCGCACGAGTTGGCTCGCCTGGCGACAAAGCCAGTTTTTCTCCCATGTCTCCCTCGAAATTCTTGGAAATTATTTGTTTCATTCGAGTATCCTAGTTACTGATCAAATCATTGAGCTAATTCACCTGAGGTTTTTAAAACTGAGACTGTTGTATTATAAATCATGAAGAGATAAATATTTTCCTTATAACCCCATAGAAGAAGTCTTGGTCCTAAAGGCAAGCTTTCGTTTTCGGTATCATTTTCTTGCATCAAAGATCTGTAAAAGTAATTATTTATGGGGCTATAAGGACATCTTGACTAAATCACTGCCCACTCACCATGTTTCTGGCATTCAAAGTTCAACGGTGAACATTTGCACACTAATCCGCCATGTTTGTCTTCGAAGCCTCGAGGTGGACTGGCAGGCTACCAAGCTTCGATGGTTCTTATATGACAGTGTTAGTGCTAATGTTTTCATTATTTTCAGTGTTGTGATTCTAAATATAATTTAAATCTCCACACCATTGCTATGATAGACGAACGAGCTGGAAATGCCGCGCAAAAAACCCTTTAGCAACAAGCAGAAAAAGAAACAACTGCAGGACAAAAGAGAAAAAAATCGTTTGAAAAATCTAGGTATATTGAATTTACTATAACTTACTCTTATATGCCGGATATCTTCAAAACGGTCATATCATTATAAGCAGCATGGATGTCTGTTTTTAAATAGTGCTACATCGTTGGTGTGTAAGGTGTTTTGCATTTATCGGTCAAAATATGTATATTTTTTTTCAGATGAAGGGAGCAAATCTTCAAACGGGAATTCAGCTGACACAGAAGGCGATGAAGAGTCCGAGATTGGAGGGCTCGAAAAATCTTTGGACGAAAGGAGAGCAGCTGTCGATAAATTACATCATCAGCCCCTCACCCATCGGCAGGAGAAAAACCGAAAACACGATCCAAACAGGTACAGGTTATCATGGGAATATTTTAAACTCATCTATGCTTTTAGTTGTGCACAGAAAATGAAATTGAAATACGTCCCCCAAAATATTTTTACATAAGATAATCAATCGCTATTCAATTCTTCCCTAAACAGAAGAACGAAACCCTTACACGTATATTCTTGAAAGAAAAGAGGCATCATTTCCTTTAATTTTGTTCTGTATAAATGTTCTTTGCTTGAGTTATTGTAAAACCATACAAGTTCCTAATTCTTCTAACGGACAATGAAGTAAATCGTACAATGACTTACTGTTCTCCCATCCCATGCAGGTTTTTGTTACACTTAAGTACATCTGAAGAAATTGTGACCTACTACTTGAATACATTCAGACAGGCCATAGCCACTAAGTTTTCAGATTATCAGCTTGAGGAACTTTTGTCACACTTAGATGTGAATAAAAGCTATTTTTAAAGTTTTGCAATATGCCATTGGAATGAGAAACAACCACCCTTGCTGACATTTCATTGTTGAATTTTATATTTCTATTTTAATTTTTAAGATCAAAAACACAAACCCTTACCTTGAATTGACTGCACTTAAATTCAATAATTTATAATCACCTTTATGATTTTCTTCAGATATCGCTTGCAGTTTGATCGTGAATCAAAGGCTGAAATCGAAGCTAGGAAAAAGGCTGCTCAAGAACCACTAGAGTATGTCACCGAGGTATGCTAAGTTCTCATTTTTATCTTGTTGCATAAGATATTTATTATAAAGGCACTGATAAGGAAAATTTGTTAACATTATCAAGAACTGCTTCAGTTGATGATCATTTCCTTTATTCTCATGACCTTCATGTTTGATTCAGAGGTGGTATTGTAAGGAGAAATTAGATGCTTGTTTCTCTAAGGAGTTAAGGGTTAATAATCTTACCATTTCAGTCTATGAGGTTATGGAAATTGGTTTTGGAATGATGCATTTATCCTCTGTTGGTCCAATAGATTGAATAATAAAATTGCACCAAATTAGTCTATTATTGAATTTGTTTTGGTGGTTCATTTAAATGAATATGATATGTATTGTCTAAACTCTAGGAAAGTCTTGAGGTGAGCCTTGAAAGTACCTACAATCCTGGATCAGGTATAAATAGATTAATAGTATGTAGGTACTTTAGGAATAAATGCTTATTAATTAAACCTTTCACTCCCATGATCTTGAGAGTAATTCTCCATACTGTCTGCCAAACAATTTTCTGATGTTAGTTTGAAGAATTTTTTTCTGGATCAACTGAGAATCCTCTTAATGACAATTTTTCCCTTTATTCTCATCACTTGCTTGCAGAAGATTATATTGATATTGTAAGGAGAAATTTTGCCTTAGTCACTCATGGGAGTCAGAGCATCTGTTAACTTGTTATATGGAATCAAAAGTGAATGTGTTATCAGAATATGGGAACTACCCAAAGCTTGATAATTGAATGTGCAATATTTTAGATGTTGTTTAAAATATGGTTGAAATATTTGAGAAATTCAAGGGAGATCATATCCATGTACTTGAATTTTAAATGGTACCAGCAAATTGTCAGGGAAGCCTGATAAAATGCTAAGGGGGAACCTTGCAATGGAGTAGCTTCTAATCCAGGGAGGAGTAGTAGCAAGTTCTAATCTCTTCAGCCACTTGGATAAGCTGAGGCTGAGAGGGCCAATAGGCTCTAGTACAAACTTTACCATAACTAGCTGGAAAAATAAAGAAAAATAAGTTTTGTGTTGTTTATGATTCTGTAGTACTGGACATGCCTAAAAGGCCCCCTTGGAAATATAGCATGAGCAAGGAACAAGTAGAACAAGCAGAGCAAGAAAAGTTTGAAAATTTCTTGGACAAGATTTATGATGGATACAAGCACTCAGAACTCAGTTACTTTGAGCGAAACTTGGAGGTAATATAATTTGTCACTGTATAATTCCTCAAATCAGAGTTGATGATTGGATAGCACTAAACATAGGGCAGTCCTCCACCACGTATGGTGGATCCATTTGGTGAAAATTGAAAATCCAAACAGTTGAATATTTGCTAAATTGAATTAATGTTTTTTTTTTTATTGTTATTAGAAGGAGTTTTTAATGTAAAAATAATGTGATGTAAATTTTGTGTACCTGGAATAGCCGTTTTATATTTTTATATTGTAGACGTGGAGACAGCTGTGGCGAGTTTTAGAAGTCTCTGATATTGTTGTTCTTATATCAGACATTCGACATCCAGTAAGTTGATGGTTAGACAAAGCTACATTCCATACTACTGTAAAGCTGTATCATTATCTGGCTTGTAATGTTAAAGATCCTAAATGAAAGGTGATACATGTATTGAGTACATTTTCCCTGAAGGTTTCAGATGGTCTTCACTATTGTATTCAATGGGGAAGGAGCTGATATCATCCTTTAAATTATGGGGGCTAATTATGGAGGCAGCTATTGGCTCTATTTCTAGAGCCAAATGTTTACCCAATTGGACGTTATCTTGTTTTCCCAAGCATGATTTGACCAGAAGTATTACTAGTCCTCCCTGATTATGATGCCAGTTCATTGCAGCATTTCATCAGACTTTCCTGACAATTTAAGGTACCCATTTATACTTCTGGGTGGAGAGATGTACCATAAAAGAAGTGTTTTGCCTAGGAACACAACACAGTGACCTGGCCAGATCAGCGTACTACCCATCAGGCTAACACAATGACCATAGGTGAACCAGGTCAAACCAATGAAAACAACAGGGTAAATGTCCCCTCCTCCCCAAGAATTTTTGGGCCTCATTAATTTCCATAACTGATCTGATATGTTACTAGTAATCCCCAATCCCAAAACGATATCCATGATCATTTTACATCTCTATAATGATATACTTCAAGGTACTTCATTTCCCTCCAACTGTCTACAATCATGTTGTGCAAGACTTAAAGAAAGATTTAGTGTTGGTTTTAAATAAGGTATGTACCACCTTATACATTATCACTATTCTTTTTTTAAATATTATGCAACAACCAGCAGGCTTCATCAGAGATTCTATAGAATTAAGTCCACTGAATTTGTGTTCCTGGACTTTCAATTAGCCTTTTTGTCAGAGCTTGTAAAAGCTGGCTAGACTTTCCTCAATTCAGAAGAAAGGTAGCATTATTCTGATTTGCTCCATGCTTGTCAACCCAGGATGAATGCATAAGTCTAATAACCTGCATGGCCACGAAAAATAAGTAATTAACCCTCTGCACCCCATACCATCAATATGTATATTCTCCATATTGTTCTCTGTACATTTTCTAAAGTACTGATAAGGAGAATTTGTTTAACAATCAACAGGCCTCCTTACTTAATGATCATTTCCTCTATTCTTATAACCTTAACATGTGATTCCAGGTTGAAACTGTAAGAAGAAAGTGGATGCTCGTGAAATAGGGGGCAAAGGCTTAACTTTCTCATCAGATTTTCTCATAATGTATTGTAAAATAATTAAGAAAGATGTTTTTTCGTCTTGTCACAAGCGTGGGATACAGAAAAATTATGAGTCCCCATGAGGAACTAAACCTCAGACCTTCGGATTTGTGCTCTGATGCTCTACCACTGAGCCACAAAGACTCTTTGCTGAGCGAGGTCTATTATGAAGTTCTTATAACACACGTCCTGCATACTGCTAGAATTCGCAATGTTGATAGCGTAATGTTCTTGATAGAAATAGTAGAGATGGTAAGTTTTGAGCTCAGTGAAGAATGAAGAAAGATCTTTCTTAATTCTTCACTGAGCTCAAAACTTACCATCTCTACTATTTCTATGTAAAATAATTGTAGCTACTTAAAACTGCATGGTAACTCAAAGCTGTATGTTCATTTTGATTATTAATTTTGCAAATTATTTTGTACATCTCTTTTTTTTTTGTTTTGTTTGTTTCGTTTTTATATTTTGTTTTTTGTTTTTTGTTTTTTTGTGTGTGATGTACTGCTTTGTGTTGTTGCTGCAGATAGATCTTGTTCCTCCAGAAGTAGTAACAGCCTGGAAGCATTACTTCACATCCAAGTTTGAAAAGCTCAGGGTTGTATGCTTTACATCCTTCCCTAAAGATGAAAATGAACGTAATAAAGACCCAAGTAAAGGTACAATTATTAACTTTGTGAGAGCGTTAAATTATAGAATTAAAATCATCAAAGATGAGCTCCTGAAGAAAATTTCACCTTGATTTTAACTTGGATTGATTTTTGATGATATGCTGAATTGTTTTCAACGCCAGTTTTATCCAAGCGCCGTCGCCGCAAGAGATGTTTCTTTCCTGTTGGACCAAGGGCTCTTCTTGAAGCTTGTGAGAACTTACGTGGAGACAAAGGTATGATGATTAAGTTAACTTAGTTTTCCCACAATTTTGTTAACTCTTAGACTCCTAAGAGTGAGTAGCATCTAATTTTTCCTTACAATATCATCCCTGAATCGTTACAGTGAGGTCACAAGGGTAAAGGAAATGATCGCCAAAAATAGAAACTCAAATTATCCTTATCAGCTCTGAACGGTATGGAGAATATGCATACTGATGTTAGAGTATAGTGTGTCAATGCTATTTGATGCTGTTTAATTGTTAAGCTGGAATTCTGAGTCAAAATCTGCATGTTTTGAAGGAAACCAGATTGACATAATCTAAATAAAACTATAGTCAAACTGCCAAGGTCGTTCGAACGATATTTCGTAATGAGCAAGTGGAAAATGGAAACAATTTCCATTGTCTTTTTGTTAAATATTTTTAATATATCACCTTTGTTTTAGTTGACTTTAGCAACTGGGCCAGAAAACTCAGTCAGCAAGAAAAAGGAGAAGAAGAGGGCATCATTTATGATGACTACGGTAGCTCTGAGGAGTCTGAAGGTACAATGCTATGCTTCAATGCTACTCAGTGAAATGCAAAAGTCAATAAATTCACAATGGTGTGTATTCAACTAAGTACTGTTGAATGATCATAGACAATCCATTACATACCGGGTGAGCTTATCCTAATTTTCTCAGCGTTTGGCAACTGGCAGAGAGTATTTCATTTTACCGTTACATGCTTGTAGTCTGCGCGGTTCACCCCTTTCTTTTTCAGGTTCCCATTAATTGGGCGTAACAGCTCGCCAATCTCCAGCTATACTTGAGCTGGCCCAGTTTTTCAAAGGACAGATGACGCTATTCAACTGATAATTCGCATCGCTATGTAGCGGATATGTGTTATTAAAACAAACTGCGCTATCCATCGCATGGCGATTTATCCAGTGGGTAGTGTTATCCACCCTTTAGAAAACATGGGCTTGGGCGGAGAAAGGCACCAGACAATGCTTCGATCCCCGGCAAGGACATGGGCCCAGCCCCTCAATTTGCAAGAAATAGGACATCCACCGGTTCATCAAGACTGCGAGCCATCCTACATGTCTCTAAAAGTTTGCTAAGGAACAGAGAATACATTCGGGCGCCATTCGCGTTCAACAAAGGAATACTCGAGAGAACGTCCCGTTTCGGGAGGCGTAAAATTTAAGCGCTTGCGTGTACCCTTACTACCTCTATACTTGCGAGAAATCAGTAACACTTTTTATTCTAAGTAGATATATTTCATTTTTCGTTTCGACAGAAGAGGAAGGTAGTAGTTTTGAAGACGTCGAGCATAACGAAGATATACTAACGTTGGGTCTCGTAGGTAAGTGGAGCCGTTTTCTAGAAGAAAAGTTGATACTAAGGGGCTGCTAGTACATTTTATTTGCAGCGCGCCCGACGCGTGCGTTGCCTAATTAAAGTTGCTTAAAACAAATACAAAGCCATCTTGTACGAGTTAAATTGCTCTGACAACGCGTTCATTAAAGTCTGCTCGGCTCTTATTTTAGGTCACCCAAATGTTGGAAAGTCCTCCCTTCTTAATGGTCTCATCGGACACAAGGTTTGTAGCAGGGTTCTACAAGTTATACTTTCCTTACTTTTAAGTTTACTTTTGAGCCCTTTTTAGCGGGTGTGCGAATATATCATAAGGGTAGGGAATACGCCATTGGCTTTGACGAAGTAGTAACGCTCGAAACGTCAGCTTTAGAAACTCTATAGGGTGGCCAATTTACATGATCAATACAGTCGATGAAACCAGATTACCTGATTTCAATAAAAGCCGGTTACCGTTGGTCTGCAGCCGACTGTACGACCACTCACCGCCGTCTTTTTAACCAGCGGGCTCTCGTTTTTGGGTTTCGCCTTACGCTATTGAAACTGACCCCTGTAAGAGTCTTGGCTCTTAAAATAGTAGAACCCACCTCTTTCATACACGTTTTGGATGTTCTTTTTCGTATATTTCTTCCCAACAGGTTAAGAGCACCTTTTGTTTCGCCTTACGCTATTTAAACTGACCTCTGTTAGAGTCTTGGCCCTTAGAACCCACCTCTTCCGTACACGTTTCGAATGCTCTTTTTCGCATATTTGCTCCTAACAGGTTGTGAGCACCTCTCGTACGCCTGGCCACACCAAACATTTTCAGACTATATTTCTTACGCCCAACGTGAGACTCTGTGACTGCCCCGGATTGGTGTTTCCTTCTGTCGTTGGTAAACAGCTTCAGGTAAGCTGTGGTTTTTCTATGTTGCGATAACTTTGGTTGTGCGTTTCTTTCCCAAAGTGGGACTAAAAACACTCTTAGTGGTAGCTCAGAGCGAATTTTCTTTAATTAAGTCGCGAATATTACGTCTACTGGTGTGGTTTAAAAGGGTGTGGACACAATTCTGTACACTTTTATATGTCAGCCGAATTTAAAACTCATGAATACGTAGACAAGTTGTTACTGGGTTTCTGATTTCGTTTCATGGGGATTTCGAGTCGATCGTACTTCACGCTCGTATCGTCACCAGAAGGAGTACTTATTCTGAAAGGTAATGATGCAACCCTTCAGTAATATAAACGAAAAAACTCTCCCTAGTTCCTGTGCGGCAATTTTTTTTGTTCTCTTATCGAGATTAAAAGAGCGGATAAAGACACCCTATCCGAAAGATATATCTGATCCATCCGTATGATTACCTACCTGTACCTAAACTTTGCCCTCTTACCTCTTTGTTTCACTGGTACCCAGCTGTCACAATTCAGCCACAGATGTCAAGACATCCTCAGCAGATGTACTCAACGTTGTTGCCGTGTTTTCCTGCCCTTAGATCTTATCAGGAATGTATCCTATTTCACAAGTTCAGGAACCATACACCTCTGTGGGGTATTTAGCTGCCAGAGTACCCCTGGTTGATCTACTACAGCTGGTCCACCCCGAAAATAGAGCTGATTCTGATGGAGAGGGAGGGGTGGGAGAGGAAAACCATCCTTGGTCAGCATGGGATGTTTGTGACGGTGAGATGAATACTCTCCAGATCTAACCCGCTTCTTACAACATTTCGTTGTTAAATAACTTTTCTGAACGTGACTGCAGTCTAAGTCTCTAACGGTGCTCTTGTTTTGATGATTCTTTCAGCCTGGGCTCATAAGAGAAGTTTTCTAACAGCAAAAGCAGGCCGCCCCGATGTATATCGAGCAGGTATTTGGCGTTGCTAACATCATCTAGGAAAGATTTGGGTTGAACTACCTGTACCTAGATGCAGACGCCTTATCTTAGAAAGGAGATCAGACAAACAGAGCTTGCTAAGAATTTATGAAGCGTGTCAGTGGCAAGGTGCAGTTGCTATGTCATAAAACTGATGCACAGACGGTTTTGGGACGCCGGTAAGAGAATGCAGCATCTTCTCGCGCGCTTCTCCGCCAACCATTCAACTAAACGCTCGATTAAAATTTGTGAAGAGCATCAGGGTAGAGAATTTTTAACTTTTAGCTTGAAAATTCTGCAATTGACATGATCCTGAAACGATACTCTCTCTCTCTCTCTCTCTCTCTCTCTCTC